CCAACTCCACACCGCAAATTTGAAAGATCTTGATGAAAATCAGGCCCGACTGCAAATTTCTTCAAAATTTTCGCAGGCGCTCCGCGCCTGCAGATTTTGAAATAAATTCGACAAAATTGGTACCTGGCCCAAGGAAGGCCGCCAAGTGGGCCAGCACCGGTCGCACATTGTGGCAGCAGTCAGCAGTGCATGTCTGATAGCTAGAGCAGCAGCGTCAGGGTCTCGCAGGGTCGGATCGTGTCAAGCCTCTCGCCCGGCCGGCCGCGTGCAGACGTCGGCCTGGGTCTCGTGTCTGCTGTCTGGAGTGAAGATCTGTCGGCGGTCAGTACGACCGATCAGGTCGGAGTTTTCTGATGGTTAGAGGGTCTATCCGCTGTATGTGTACTCCTCGAGATCTCCAAATCTGCCCCCTCTATTTGGAGTTTGTGCTAGTAAAGACTAGTGGAGCCCCGGGGCCCCGCGCGTTTCCGCAGTGGGCTGGTCGCTGGTGCTGCGCAGGGGGTCCACCGGTGGTCGGTGCCCCCCCAGAGGTGTAGCGCCCCTTGATACGCACCGGATACACGTACATAAAATTACATGCCAGGTAAAGCTCTACGACTCAAAAGACGCGTGCGCACACACCGCACACGGAAGAGCTCACAAATCTCTCTCAGACAGTCAGAGGGCCGTCTCTCAAGACACGCCACGTCGCCTGTTTCGTCCGCCACCGTCTCGTCCTCCGCTGACGCTAGACTCCCCTCCTTTCTAGCCACGCCAGCGCATCCAGCGCCTGCCGCTGCGCGGCTGATGCACCCCCGCCCTCGCCTCCGCCGCGCTGCACCGAGAGCAGGAAGAGAGGCATCGCCGAGGGCTGCGCCACCGCCGCCTCGACGCGCGCGCGTGCCTCGCCGGGCGCCTCGGCGGCGAGTAGTTCCAAGTGGTGGCGGTTGAGGAGGCGCGCCGACCTGTTCACAGCAGTAGGTGTGAAGAGACGCTGTTCACAGGTGGTGGCGGTTGAGGAGGCGCGCCGACCTCGCGCGCCGCACAGTCGCTCCGGCCGGGCCTTGGGAGGGAGGGAGGTGGTGTGAGTGGAGGGGAGGAGGAGGAGGAGGAGGAGGAGGGGGAGGAGGAGGAGCAGGCGGAGAGGGAGGAGGAGAGCCCCGGGCGCAACGGCGACCCGACCACATCTCGGCCACGTCTCGGCGCCATCGCCCGCCGGCGCAATGCGCGATCCGGCGGCTCGCCCGCTCTGGCTCGCGCAGCGCCGCCTCGCAATCGCGCAGGCACTCGGAGGCGAACGCGCCGCCGCCGCCGGCGGCCGGCCGCAGCCGTGTCCCTCTCTCACGCAGCGCCTCGACGAGCCGGTGGGCGGACAGGCGGCACGCGGCGGCGACGGGCGAGCCGCGCGTGAGGCCGACGGGGTAGAGGGCTCCCTGGTGGCAGCCGAGGGTCGCGTCCTCGACCACCTCCGCGGCGGGCGGGTAGGCGGGCCTGCGTGCTGAGGACGCCAACCTCAGGGCGGGAAGACGGTGGTGTGCAGCGTGGTCAGAGCGACGCATGAATACAGCGGATAGGAGTACAGTGAACACAGCGGAATACAGCGGAAACAGCGGAGACGTGTCTCTCGAGTGCTGGTTGGAAGACGTGAATCCGTATTCCGCGTCTAGGCTGGCGGGCAGGAGGGGTGCGTGGAAGGCGATGTCGGGCAGCGGCTCGTGCGGGTACACGGCAAGCACTGATGACACCGGCGAGGCGGAGAGGTCCAAGACGCCGCTGGCCGTGGTGAGGACGCCTGGCATGCCGACGGCGGCGAGGAAGTCGAGGTGGCGGGCCGTGAAGACGAGGTTACCGGGCACGGGGTCGAAGAGCAGCAGCGCGAGGCGGAGCCGGTCGCGCAGCGCGGTGCTGGCCGACTCCAGCTTCTTCGCCAGCTGGAGCGCCGCGATGCCTCCCCGGGAGAGGCCGAGCACGTTGACCGACAGACGCTGCCGACACGCCTCTGAGGACGAGGCGAGCGCCTCCAGCCGCGCCACGACCGCGTCGCACTGCGGGGCGAGCCCGAATGCAAAGAGCGCACCTGGCAGGCCCGCGACGACACCACAGCCATCGAACCCCATCTTGAGATGGCTCGCCTCGCCCGCTGCGACCTGCGGATCCGTGACGTCGAGCGCATCGCAGAGCGCAAACAGCTCGCCGATCTGCGTCACGACGGGCCGTATCGGGTTGGCCGTGCCTTCGAAGAACACCGTGATGGTGGTCGTGCCGTCGTGTGCGCCGGAGGTGGACATATACATTGCACACGTGCACATACGCGGGCGGCCGGTGGGGCGCGTGAGGTCCGGTGTGATCTGTGATCTGTGAGGGTCCGCCCGCAGGCGCATTTTGTATACCGAGGCGGTGCCCGGTGCCGAGCGCAGGTCCGGTGTAAATATATATAATGTGAGGCGTCGTTGAAGAGGGACTCGCGCGCAGGCTCTAGGGTACCCGGTAGGGGCGGGGGTACTATCCCCCCCAAATTGGCCTCCTTCCCTGCGGGCCAAACAAGGCCTACCTAGGAGCTCCAGCAAGTGGCAAAAGCGCCTCAAACGCTCTGCAAGTGGCACACAGACACGCGAACCCGGAGGACGACCCAAACGTCGCTCAACACACGCATCGATGTGCAACCCAACAAGATATTCTCCTGCTGGAATGGCTCTGGGCCCCGGCACGCACAACGACGCACAATGACAGCACGGCCGACTCGAGTCACACTGTGTAGCTTGCGACGAGCGCGTTCGCGCGCGACGGTGCGCCCCCCGCCGCCGCCGTGTTGACGAGACTGGCCCACGGGTTGGAGGCGTACCGCAGCCCGCCCGGCGCGGTGCCCCCGCCTCCGTCGCCCCCCTCCTCCTCCAGCCAGCGGGCGTAGAAGGCGGCATCCGCCCGCGCGTCCTCCTCGCCCAAGGCTGTCAAGATCACGGGCCGGCGCGCGCGAGAGAGCGCCGCCAAGGTCGGCGACCACGCGCGCTCCTGTTCACAGCAGTGGGTGTGAAGAGACGATGTCCAGGTACGTCAAGGTCGGCGACCACGCGCGCTCCCAGCCGGGCTGGCCGAGCCCCGGGTTGAAGAGCAGGAACGCGTCGGGCAGGGGCGCCGGCGCGCCCGCTCCCCCCGCCGGCCGCCCCGTCGAGAGCAGCCCTCCCGATTTCGAGGCGCTGACGGCGAGAGACGCGGCCGCTGCCGCGCCGCCCGCAGCGCCGCCCGCCGCGCCGCCCGCCGCGCCGCCGCCGCCACCGCCACCTCCGAGCAGCAGCGCCCGGCCGAGGGCGGACTCGTGGAACAGCTCTCCGCGAGACGGCCGCAGCAGCGCCAGCCCCGGCTCCTCGCTCGCGGGCGGAGACGGCGGCGCAGCGCGCGGGCCGACAAACGAGATCTCGAGCGGCGCGTCGCAGACGCTGGCGAGCGCGCGAGTCTCGCTCCAAAAGTGCGGCGGGAGCAGCGCCTCCGCCCGCGCGCCGACCAGACAGATCCGCCGCGGCTCGCCCTCGGAGGGCGCGCAGAGTGCCGCGACTGCTGCCGCTGCGGTGAGCGGGTAGGTGAGCGCCGAAGAGAGGAGGCTGACCGCCTCCGCCTGCGTCGCCGCGCCGGCCGCCGCGAACTCGTCGCGGCGCAGCCAGCCGCGCGCGAGCAGCAGCTCCTGCCAGCCGAGCGCCTGCCAGTCGCGTGGCACGGGGAGCGGCGCCCGCTCCGGGCCGGATGCCAGGAGGCGCGCGGCGGCGTCGCTGGGAGTGAACCGCCTCGGCATGAGGGCGGCGTGCTTTGCGCCACCCCTCTTCCAGAACTCGCCGGAGTGGAGCATGGGGACGAATCAGCCTGAGACGGCGCGAAGCGATCGATAAAAAAGAGAATTTCCGCCACGGTGAACGCCCAAGGAACCGACATGGGTGGGCGACGGCTAGCGCATCACACACCTCTCCTTAAAATCCCTGTGTGGTGGCGGCGTGCCGTTCTCCCATCCCTCCCTTGCGATATCTGTTTTCTTTCTTTTAGGGAACCGACATGCTGCGAAGGGCGAGGGGGGGGTGGAAGGGGGTGGGCCGTGCTGTGCCACCTGCCTCGTGCGCACCTCTATTCTGCTCCGGAGTGACTCGCCACCGCCATCCCTGGGCCCACTGGGCAGTCGTGTGAGGGGCCGCCCCCTAGTCTTGCGAGGGGTGGCTGCTAACCTCGCGTGGGTAGGAGGTGCTCTGCGAACTGCCTCGCGCGAGGGGCGTGTGGCATCTCTCGCGAGTCTTGGAATAGTCTCCCCTGACCCCGCCCCCGCCGGCCCGCCTGCCCTGCCCGCCTGGCCGATAAGATCTCTTCACCTTGAGCACTTGAGCACTGGATAGGGCCGATTCCGCGTGGTACGGGACCCCTCGATCGTCTCGCCCTCCCTCACTGGTATGTTCATTGGGGGGGGTCATAACAAACACTCTTCACCTTCTCATTGGTGGAGTATAGGTACGAGGGTGGTGTGGCATCTCTTGCGGGTCTCGCCAGGGGCGCCTACCAACCTCGCTTGCGAGGGGCGTGTGGCATGTCTGAACGGACTTGTGTGTGTGGTGGCGGCGTGCCGTCCTCCCATCCCTCCCTTGGGTTGTCTGTTTTCTTTCTTTCTTTTTAGCCCGTAGCCCGATCCCGATCATCCGGCTCGCTGGGTGCGCTTCTCAGCTCCCCGGCCCTGGATGTGAGGCTGCTAACTGCACTCCAGCCAAGGGAACTAGCCGGGGCAGTCGGAGAAGTGGCAACTCCGTGCACTGACGGTCGGCCGCCAGAAAACACGCCTCCGTGGCTCGGGTTACACCAATCCTCGCTACCCAACGCGGCCAAAGGATATCCTTCTCACCCACCGGATTTCGTTTTTCTGACGTAGTAGGACCTCGTTTTTCTTCTTCTCCTCGACTGCTGCTCCTCGACTGCTGCCTCGATCTGCAAAGCCTAGGTCTTTTATCGCGATCCACTTGGCGTGCATGCGTGGCGCCCGCAGCATGGCCACGCAGGCCAGCAAGCGCGTCCGCGCCACCGACACTCCCTGCATTGTGCAGATGCAGCAGATGCTGCGTGGCAGGGAGGGCGTCCTCTCGCTCGCACAGGGCATCGTGCACTGGCCGCCACCCGAGGCGGCACTGGCCGCGGGCGTCGCCGCGATGGGCGAGCGGAGCACCAGCCTCTACGGTCCCGACGACGGCCTTCCCGAACTGCGCGCCGCGCTCAAGGAGAAGCTGCGCGTCGAGAACGGCATCGACGGCGGCGAGGTGATGGTGACCGCGGGAGCGAACCAGGCGTACACGAACGTGGTGCTCTCGCTGCTCGACGCGGGCGACGCCGCCGCCCTCTTCCGACCGTACTACTTCAACCACCTCATGGCGTTGCAGATGACCGGCTCACAGCTCGACCTGTGGCTGCCCCCCTCGCTGCCGGACCTGCAGCCCGACATCGGCGCGCTGAGGGCGGAGCTGGAGGCGCGCGCCCGCGGCGATAGGCCTCCGCTCCGGATGCTGACGCTGGTCAACCCTGGCAACGCCACCGGCGTGGCGACACATGACTGCGCTCTCCTCCGCCATTCACCATTCACCGCTTCTGCATCCTAGGCAACCCCACGGGCGTGATGATCCCGCGCGGTACGCTGGACGAGGCGAGCCGGCTCTGCGCGTCGCACGGCGTCTGGCTGGTGGCGGACAGCCGGCAGGAGCACTTCTCCGCACGCGTCATGTCCGGGTCATGTCCGGCACGTGTCCTGCAGGTGGTGGACAACACCTACGAGCACTTCGAGTACGCGGGCGAGGCGGATGAGTCGCGAGGCTGGGCGGCGCTGCTCTGGGACATGTCCCGGACATGTCCCGGACACGTCCCGTAAGGCGCCGCACGAGTGCGTCTCCGGCGAGCACGTGATCAACGTCTTCTCCTTCTCGAAGGCGTTCGGCATGATGGGCTGGCGAGTGGGGTGCGTGTCTGCTCCCCGGCCTACCGAAGGAACGGATTGAGTACGTCATTCGCAGTCGGTGATGGACATGTAGCACAGAGAGAGAGAGAGAGGGGAGGGCTTCGCGGGGCTTCGGCGCGCGCCTTGTCCTTCTTCTTCTTCTTCTTCTTCTTGGGGAGCCCCTCCTCCGCCGCCGCCGCCATGTCCGACGCCTCCGTCACTGCCCTCGCGCCGGAGGTGCGATCCACAGTGACTGATGATGCTCGCTTCCCAACCAGGTACGTCTCCTTCCCGGCCGCCCTCGCGCCCGAGATGCTGAAGGTGCAAGACACCATCGCCATCTGCCCGTCGATCGCCTCGCAAAAGGTTGGCCGCTCTCGGCGCCCCGTGGCTGGCGCCAGAACCAGGGCGGATCGTTGTTCATTGCCAACGAAAGGTCGCCCTCGGCGCCCTCGCCGCCGGCCGCGGCTGGGTGTCGCAGCGCGTTGCGGGGCTCGCGGAGCAGAAGGCGCTCGTCCTCGCCGCCCTCGCGCCGCTCGGCGATGGCGCGGTGCAGGGCGGCTCCGGCGCCCTCTGCCACGCGGCGCGGCTACCTTTTCACGAGCCGATTCGCACGAGCTCAGCATGAATGTGGCTAGGCGCAATCTACCTCGTGGCGCGGCTGCCGCCGCACGCGGCTGACGACGTGGCCGCGGTGCGGACGCTCGCGGAAGAGCACGGCGTCGCGCTCATCCCCGGATCTGCGTGCGGGGCGCCGGGCCACATCCGCGTCTGCTACGCCAACTTGCCGCTCGAGCAGACGCGAGAGGCGGCGGCGAGGCTACGGCGCGGCTTGCAGGCCCTCGTGGACGGCGGCGCGGGGCGCAGAGCTTGACGAGGACCGGTGGGTCGTGCAGTCGCTGTCGGCCCCGTGCAGCGGTGTTCGTCGCGTGTGCGCAAACAACGCCCCCGTCCGCAGAGTTTTCCGCCGCGTGACAAAAAAGTGAAGAAAGGATAAATAAATCGGCGACACACCTCTACTGAGTACTGTGAGATTCGGGAGGACGACCCCGGCTAGTCGCAACATACCTACCTACATATCCTACCACATGGACATGTGCATGTGCATGTGCATGCAGACCGCCGTTTTCCGGCTCGCAAAAGGAACGAGCTTGTGCGCGCAGGAGGAGGAGAGGGAGGGGGGGGGGGCATGGCCGCGGCCAGGCGGTTCAACTCCTCGCCCTCCTTGGAGCTCTTGTGGGGCTGCCCCGCTCCGCGGAAGAGCCGAACCTCGAGCTTCCGTTACGCCTCGCGCTCCACGTCGCGCTCCTTCTCGCGCATCGCTGCCGCTGCTCGTGCCTCTGCGCGCGCGTGCAGGAACGAGAGCCGCTGGGCACGCTCGATCGCGTTGCCCAGCGTCAGGGAAGTGCCGAGCAGAAAGGCGCCCATGCAGGCCGCGCGCAGCACGTCGCCAAAGTAGCCGCCGAGTGTGAGCACGCTGTAGCCGACGAAGTTTGCATGGTAAATGCACAGCTTGAATCGTGGCGGGCTCGCGAGGAGAAACGGGAAGACCAGTTGCAGCACACCGGCCACGCACCACACCGCGTGCTCAAACTCGGCGATCGGTTCGAGGCCATGCAGGAGAGCGAGGGCAATGTTCGCCGTGAACGCGATCACTGGCAGCAGCACGAAGAGCATCCGTACCGTGTCGCCGTCGGCAGGGCGAGCGTGGTACAGCAGGAAGATCGTCAGAACCCCGACACACCAGGGCGCCCAGAGCGTATGCAGGATCTGGGCCGATGCAGCCCACATCACCACGAAGAGGCTTAGTCCGAAGCCGCCGGCCGCCACGTGAATCCGCTTGAGGACGGTGAGCATGTTTCGCCGGAAGAGCATCTCCTCGTCGGGGTCGGAGAAGACGAGGGTCAGCGAGTGCATCTGGCTCCGCGCAGAGCTCTCGACACGGCCGCTGTGGCTGAGGCCCATGGTCGCCATGCTGGAGCCTCCAGGCATCTGGGATGCAAAGGGGAGCAGCGGTGGCGAGATCCGGGAAGGAGGGGCAAGCTCCGGCGGCGAGGGAAACGGCGAAGGCGGTGCCGCCGGGTCTGCCGCATGGCACTTACCGGCCCCCTCCAGCAGATCCAACTCGTTTGCCTGACCTCACGAGAATGCCACAGTCAGGGCGGGAATGCGAAGGGTGCGTGCAGCGCAATTCCGAGAGCCAACGCGCTGTATGAATGGAGACAGCTGCATACCGCTGAATGTGTGTTTGAGTGCCAATCGGAGTACACGGATCCGCAATCCGGCATCTAGGCTACTCTGCCCACTCGTCGACGATGGCGCCCCACCTGCTCACAGCGCGTGCCGTGAAGAGGCGCCGTTCACATACTCACCTCAAGTAGCACGCTTTGCCCGCCCGGGCGCGGCGGCGGAGGGTGCGGCGGCGAGGGCCGCGGCGCCGTCGGAGGCCAAAGTCCGGGCGAGAGTCGAGGCGAGCGCGGGGAGCAGCGGTGCGGCTAGTGCGGGGCTGGCTGCAGTCAACGGCGCCAGCGGAACGGCGGCGGCAACAGAGCCAGTCTCCTCCGCGCCGCCCTCGCGGGTTGCGGGGGCGAGCAGCTCGTCCCATTCGCTGCGCAGCGGCGACCGGCACGACTCCCCACCCCGCGCGCTGCCTGTGGCGGAGACGGCGACGGCGGGGGGGCCGGGGATCGCACGTGTGAGCATACCTGTCTGCCAGCGATGGAACGTGCCGCCGGGGGCGGCGGCGGCGTCGGGGACGGCGAGGGTCTGGAAGGCGCCCGGGCTGGCTGGGAGGGCGCAGAAGCAGCCGGGGACGGGCGAGGGCGGAATTGAGGAGGCGGAGGCGGAGGCGAGGGCCGCGGCGCCGTCGGAGGCGGAAGTGGATGCGGAGGCGGAGGCGGAGGCGGGGACGGAGGAGGAGGAGGCGGCGGAGGCGGAAGTGGAGGCGGAGGCGGCGGAGACTGAGGTGGCGACGGCGGAGGCGGAGGACGCCAGGACGGAGGCGAGGAGGTAGCCGTGCGGAGCAGGGAGGCGCCTGAGCCGCGAGAGGTGCGCTCGCGCCTGCCGGATGAGAAGCGGCAGCATTGCATCCCGCGGCGGGGCGGCGGCAGAAACGGTGGCGGCGGGAGCGGCGGCGGCGGGCTTGGCGGCGACATGGATACGCCCTGCGAGCTGAGGGTTTAGACATTTGCGACGGCGGCACAGCTTTTTGCGAACCCCCTTACCGCCAAACCGCAGCCGGTCAAGGCACTCGCGGCAGGTGCCGCAATCCGTCGCCAGGCAGCCGGTGCATTCACGGCACCGCCCTCGCATTGGTAGGCGCGCCGGTCGGAGAGAGGAGTCTGAGTGATTGAGCGACAGCTTCCGACAATCAGTCGAGCGAGCCGACTGCCGACCCTGGGGTCGGGGGTCGCGTTGGTAACCCCCCACAACGGGTGCCGGAGATATTGGTAACCCCCCCGTACCCCGGGGTGGGAGTGGGATGCGGTGTAAGGTAAGGAAAGGTAAGGTAAACTTCTCCACATGGATGCGGTGGGCTCCGTAACCGGCGTAACCCGATGCCGAGCACCTGGCCTTATAACTGTAGCTCCCCGGCCCTGGATGTGAGTGAGTGAGGTTCCCCCCCCCACTGGTAAGTGTGTGTGTGTGTGTGTGTGTGTGTGTGTGTGTGTGTGTGTGTGTGTGTGTGTGTGTGTGTGTGTGTGTGTGTGTGTGTGTGTGTGTGTGTGTGTGTGTGTGTGTGTGTGTGTGTGTGTGTGTGTGTGTGTGTGTGTGTGTGTGTGTGTGTGTGTGTGTGTGTGTGTGTGTGTGTGTGTGTGTGTTGTGTGTTGTGTGTGTTGTGTGTGTGTGGGGGGGGGGGGGTTACCAACACTCGCGCTGCGCCACTGTGAAATGGAACTAGCCCCACACGGTCCCGGGTCCCGTTAGACTCATCACATGACTTCTCATCACACTCTCTCAATCTAAGGAGGCACTGGGGCGCATTCGCCCCTACCTTGGGCCGGGTCGCCGTCGCATACGATCCACAGGTTCTGACCCCAGGCTCCTTTGCGATCCGAGCTGTCGTACTTTCTAGCGGTCACGGATGTGCCCGACGAGGAAAAGCGGATGTCGTCGAAATCGGCTGGGAGAAGATCCGTATCCTGCAGTTGAAGCAGTTGTAGAGTTCTCCCTGGTAGCTCTTGCAGGGGACCGTTTTCGGGGCGTGTTCAGAGTTGCAGTTTCCGTAGCTCCCCTCGCCGCCGGTACTTGGCCCCCATCCTCCCCAAAGCTGCTCCCATGGGTAGGGAGGGCTGGCGCAGTTGCCGACGTGGATTGCGCCACAACACCTGTAGTTGGCGGGACGCCCGCCGCTGATGACTGGGGGCCCGATTGTGTTGTCGAAGAAGTTGTTTCCCGTCTGGCACAAGTATGGGGGTGCTGGCGGGGCCGGCGGGGGGGGGCGGGCAGAATGGCGATGTTGGGTGGGCAGCCACTGTGAGAATGGTCCGAGGAGATCCCATGCGGTCCATCTCGGCACTGAAACTCGACATCGGGGTACGAGGCGACAGTCGGCTTCCGACATAGTGGCCATGTGGGCACATAGTAGTAACTCTGTCCCCAAGATTGATAAGGTGCGCAACAGACCCCATCCCCGTCCGGCCAGGGCGAGGGCGTGGGATTCGGCGAGGGGCTCTGCGCGGGCGAGCGCGTCGGGTTCGGTGAGGGACTTGGCACGGGCGCTGGAGCCGGCGACAGAGCGCATTGCGGCTTTTCCGGCCAGAAGCGGAGGCGTGGTTTCGAGTTGTGAACGCTTGGGCAGTAGCACTCGGTGCAGGACGTGAAGTAACCCACCATCCTTTCGTTCTGTCGTTCCATTCCGTATCACCTGGCACGTTGTAGCATCTTCTGAGGCTCTCGCAACCACAGTAGGAATAGTGAAAGAGGTCGTCACAGTCCATCTGCGCGAGCTGCCAAAGAAACGCACACGAATCACCCGTATCGCACTCCGTCTCGGTGTTGACGACGGCGGAGTAGGGGCATGCCGGCGGTGACGGCGGCGGTGGCGGCGGCGGCGACGGCGGCGGAGCGGGTGGGTGCGGCGGCGGGAGCGGGGGGTGCTGCGGTGGCGGTGGCGATGGCGGGTGAAGGCAGCCGTAGCATGCCAGGCAGCCATCGGCCGGGCTCGGCTGGCACATATTATCCGCATTCTCTCTGATGCATTGGCACATGAGATCCTTCTGTTGATCAACTGGGGCGCCACTCTCGTAGCATTCTGAGCGCGTCCCCATTATGTCTATCATTGCCTGGCAAGTCGGGATGATGCTGCCTAAACCCGCCCGTGCACGGAAACGAGGAGGCGGAGGCGGAGGCGGGGACGGAGGAGGAGGCGGCGGCGGAGGCGGAAGTGGATGCGGAGGCGGCGGAGACTGAGGTGGCGACGGCGGAGGCGGAGGACGCCAGGACGGAGGCGAGGAGGTAGCCGTGCGGAGCAGGGAGGCGCCTGAGCCGCGAGAGGTGCGCTCGCGCCTGCCGGATGAGCAGCGGCAGCATTGCATCCCGCGGCGGGGCGGCGGCAGAAACGGTGGCGGCGGGAGCGGCGGCGGCGGGCTTGGCGGCGACATGGATACGCCCTGCGAGCTGAGGGTTTAGACATTTGCGACGGCGGCACAGCTTTTTGCGAACCCCCTTACCGCCAAACCGCAGCCGGTCAAGGCACTCGCGGCAGGTGCCGCATTCCGTCGCCAGGCAGCCGGTGCATTCACGGCACCGCCTTCGCATTGGTAGGCGGCGGCCCCGGTCGGAGAGCTGGAGTCTGAGTGATTGAGCGAGAGTGTCCTCGGAGTCTGAGCCTGAGAGCGACTGAGCGAGTGTCGGCCAGTGTGTGGCGAGCGAGTTCTTTCTTCAGACGCCGTAGCGCGCTGCCATGGTGGCCGCTGCCTTGGGCAGTGGCCACGGTGGCCGACCCAGGGCTCCTACGCGGCTACAGCCGCGCGCGACCGCTGCCGCTGGCACCGGTCGCGAGGACTCTGGCTCGGCATGCGCGCCACCGGCCGGTGGGCCGCGCTCAAACGCACAAAGTCTCTAACATCTACCGAGGCGGACGCAAAAAAGCGCGCCTCGGCGAGACGGATCGCATACTTTGCCTGGGCCTGGAATCGCCGCACGCCAGCCTGGACAGAGGCTCGCGAGAAGCCCTCCTTGTCGCCGTCCTCATAGGTGACCTGCTGGTAACATCCCGTCTCCGGGTCGTAAGAGACGATATCTCCGACGAAGGTGCCATAGCCGCCAAAGGTCTTCATCGTCCGCTTGCCCACCAGGCCGGTCCGCTGCACCTTGCGTGGTGGGGAGCTGAGAGCTGAGGGCGGGTCGGGTGCCCGGGGGGCGGGGTGGGGGGGGTGGGGGTGCCCCCGGGGCGGGCCTCACTCTGAGGAGCTCCGCCCCGCCCCTGCCCCTCACTGCCCCGGGGGTGGGGCCTCACCCGCAGCCGGCGCGTCCCGGGGTGGGGTCTCGGGGTGAGAGTCCCGGGTGAGGCCCGCCCCCCCCCCCCCCGTCCCGGGGCTACTGTGATAAACACATTAGCGTCGGTTGCGCAGCACCCCGTCCCCATCCAGGTCGTTGGTTGCTGCCCCAGGTCCCGCACTATGTAGTACAATGCCCCGAGCCGTTCTCTGGATCATGCTTGTTGGGGTACGTGGTTCGCCCGTCCCTGTGTCCCGTCCACGTCGCCCGTCGGCAAAGCCGGACGACCTATGGTCCCGGCGGGCAGGCGCAACGCGCTCGTCTGTGGCGGCTTCCCTCAACCTGCGCCGCGCTCGGCGAACCTCGACAGCGCTTTCGGTGGCATGCAGCTCTTTGCGCCTGAAGCCTGGAGAGCAGCTCCTCGGCTGCTCACACGCTCTGCACAGATAGCACAGCCCACTGTGCGGCTGCCACAGCTGTGACAGCGATGGGCTCGCCCTCACTGGCCCTCAGTCACTTGTGCTGCGGCTTGTGTGAGCGACACTGCTCGGCGACTGCCGGCACACTGTGAGACCATGGGTGAGAGGTCAAACCACGCTACCAGCGCTTGGTCACATCGGCCCCGAGGTCAGATCCTTCTACTCTGTTAGTGACAAGACTTGTCTACTGGCTGGAGCCGAGCAGGAGGGCCCGGCGCACAACCCCTGGTCAACTCACGGTCCAACGGGGTCTGTGCCCACTGACTCGCAGGGTATTGTAGTTTGTACCTCTATTAAAGGCGCACATTCATTTGCACGCATTCTCCCCAGGTGTGGCCCAGGTGTCTTCCTTCTCATGTAGGATAGTTTGTTTTTATGGGAGGTGGCCAGTCCCGCTATGGATATGTAAGAGCCACTAACGCAATTATTGGCCACCTTATGCACATCCATGCCCACGGTCCGTAGGACGTCGCTGAGACGTCGTGTATTTTGGTGCCGTGTCAAGCCGGGTGGCGGCTCAGTGATGCGTCACGCATACGCCTCGCTTCACGCGTACAGACAGAAAGCCCGATCGGTGATTTCAGATGTGCTGCGTATTATGCGCACGTCTTCTTGCACCGATCGTTACCACCGACCTTCTGGCCGCTACGCACCACGCACCACGCATCTGTTTTATGTAAGCTTTGCCAGAGAGGCTCTCTCGGGGCGCTACGCACGGTGTATTACGCACACGTCTTACGCAGTGGGATCGTAAATCGGGGCTGGGTGGGCCTATGACCGACGCATTACGCACATGCACTACGCTCTCGACCGTGAACGGCGGCGGAGAGGGGATTATGCCTCATGTATTACGCACACGTCTGATGCATCGGTCGCCATGGGTGTCCGGGGGGAGCTTACGTCCCACGTATTACGCACACGCACGACGGATTTGACTGAGAAGTGGCGGCCAGCAAGGGTTACGCCTCATGTATTACGCATACGTCTGAACGCATCGGTCGCCATGGGTGTCCGGGGGGAGCTTACGTCCCACGTATTACGCACACGCACGACGGATTTGACTGAGAAGTGGCGGCCAGCAAGGGTTACGCCTCACGTATTACGCATACGTCTGACGCGGATCCGCCCACCTAACCCCTAACCCCTAACCCCTAACCACTAACCCTAACCCCTAACCCCTAACCCCTAACCCCTAACCCCTAACCCCTAACCCCTAACCCCTAAACACCTACCCCCCCCCTAACCCTAACCCCTTACCCTACCTTCGCGCTGCCGCTAGGCAGCTGCCATAAATTGGCGCTGCCGCTAGGGCTGCCATAAGCTGGCTAGGATTGTATGTGCGCTGGTAACAACAGACTCGGGCATAGCCCTCGACAGCCACCCCCTAACCCCCCCACCCCCCCCCTTTATGTGCGCGCACTGGCGCTGCCGCTAGGGCTGCCATAAGTTGGCGCTGCCGCTAGTGCTCCAAGTGCTAGGGCTGCCGCATAATCATGAGCCTGTCTCCAAACACCTCTCCGACGCGCTCGACTATAGTCCAAATTGGACGATGGACTGTATGTCGGGTTGGCGGCCATTTGCTCAGGCGTCAGAATGCTGAGCTCGTACACTGGCAGCTCCGCAGAGGTCAAGGACGGCGGCGGCGGCAGCGGCGGCGCAGTGAGATCGCTGGCTAGCGTGTCCTTGCCCGCCTCCCTGCGGGCATAGAAGAGCGCCGCCTCCTCGGCGGTGGCGAACCAGCCGAGAGTGACTTGCTTGCCACCAGTCCTCTCCTCCAGCTTGTACTTCTTGCTGCCTCGCTCCTTCGGGCGGTAGTAGACGCCTTTGTAGCCGGTGTTGCTGCTGCTGGTGGCCAGAGTCAGGCCCTCCCTCTCCGCCTGCCGTATCGCCTCGGCGCCAGCGGGAGTGGGAGCGGGGCGGGGCTGCAGCAGCTTGGCGGCGTCGGCGCGGCCGTACTCTGACCGAGCGTAAGCGGTGGCCGCCTCTTCGGCGGTGTTGAAGTAGCCGAGGTGGACACGCGTGCCGCCAGCATTCACCTCCGCCGTGAACTTCTTCTCGCGCCGGTTGTAGGACACGTTCTTGTAGCCAGTCGTGTTCCTCTTGGTGATGGCTGGGATCAGCATAACGCCCTCTGACGACGCGGTCCGAGGCGGGGCCATCATGCAGCGGACGCACGTGATTCTCGCGAGTTTGACAATTGGGATTCGTTGAGCAAGGCAGCGCGGGAGCCTGAAATCATTGGCCAGGCAATCGTCTCGCGGGCGTTTTGGCGAGTGCAGAAACATAATGCGTATACGTAGTACGTCAGCGCCTCCAGGCTGTGGCGCCAGGAGGGGGTACGTATGCGGATACATGATACGTCATGTGTATCACGGTCGTCATTGGCCTGAATTGGTAAAATTATGCTGCGTAAGTGCGGGGCAGGGCCAACATTGAAGTATTCTGTGCTGGTTTCGAAGGAAAATATGCGCTGTGAGCAGGTCCGGGGTGAGGGCCGGCCTTCATATCTGCTGTATTTTGATAACTGCGCCTGTCTACGCACCAGGTGTTACGCACCCGAAACCAGAGCATAAGGCGATGCGTATTCATTTTGTGGGTTGGGCATATCCATAGCGGGACTGGCCACGATTGGTTTTTATTTAATAAAGCCGGCAGTTGCGTAACGTTGGCGCTTTCTGGCAAACGCCTCATCGAAGCACAAACCCTCCCTCGCTCTCCAGTTGCTGCCATTGGCCGAGCGCCTCCCGCACACGCGCCTGCCACATGCCGGCGTCCCCCTTGCTGATGGGACGGCCGACCGCGCGGAACTCGAGCCTACGGCAGCAAACGTGCGAGTGGTGGTGGAGGCAAACGAGATGCGAGGCGGCCGGAGGCGCGGAGAGGGCGAGCGCCGGTACGAGCAAGCGCGGCGGCCCGCGGCGGGCTCACGGAACACATCGCGGAGCCGCACCGCAATCTGCACGCCGCTCGCCTCCCCCTCTGCAGACGCCGTGCCGGCGACGGGTGTGGTTTCGCCCCCGCCTTCGCCCCCGCCTTCGCCCCCGCCTTCGCCCCGGCCTTCGCCCCCGCCTTCGGCCCTCGCCCCGGCAACAGCCGCCGCCACCGCCGCCGCCGCATCCCACGCGGCCTCGCCTTCGCTACCCCCCTCCGCCACTGTGCGGTGAGGCCGCCAGCCGGCACCGCCCTCGCCGGCACCGCCCTCGCCGCCCTCGCCGCCACCCTTGCGCCGGTCTGCCCACGGCGCGCCCACGGCGGCGCGAGCGAGGGTGAGCAGTGTCGCGGCAGTGACGGGCCCGCTCTCCTCCATCCAGAGCGAGACCTCGATAGTTAAGGAAGGGACGAGTTAACCGATGAATCCCTTCATTTCTTTCTCCCCCATCCAGGCCGAGACCTCGATGTCGCGGCTCCATGTCGGGGGCCTTGAGGCAGGGAAGGGAGGGAGAGGGGGGAGGGGCTGGATGCCTCAGCAGAGGAAGCGTGCGTGGGTGAGGTGTGCGTGTGTGCGTGCGCGCGCGTGTGTGTGTGCGTGTGCGTGCGCGCGTGCGTGCGTGCGCGTGCGCGCGCGTGCGCGCGTGCGTGCGTGCGTGCGTGCGTGTGCGTGCGTGAGTGGTGGTGATGGTGGTGGGTGGGTGTTTGGGGGGGGGGGGGGGAGGACTACCCAAAGGACGTGCGGTGCTGCCCCGGCGGCGCACCTCCGGCCCGCCATCTCCGCCACGGCCAGCCCGTCGCCCAGGGGTATGTCGCCCGGCCACTGCGAGCGCGGCCCGCTCTCCCGCGCGCGCCGCTTCTGTGCCGGGACCTACGTGCCACGCCGCTGTCTGGTACACTCCCCGCCTCGAGGTCGCCGAGCTCACGTCTCCCCGTGAGCTCTCGTTGGGCTCAGAAACGTGCTGCTCTCAAAGGGGTTCTCAGAAGGGTGCCCCGCGCTGTCTGGCGTGGGGCCTCTTCGGTGTGTGGAAGCGGCGGCGGCAGCAGCGAGCAGGCCGCGCCCCAAAGCACGAGGAGTGCGAGACGCACTGCGCCTTCCGCCCCCTCCCTCCCCCGTGGCCCTTCCCCTCTATTGACCCCACCGCGGCGCGCGAGGCCGCGGCGGACGCGCGCGCGTCGGCGGCCGCCGCCGCCGCTGCGGCGGCGTCCGCCGGCGGCGTGGCGAGGAGGAGGGAGTTGTATGGGGAGATGTCGGCCGGGATGTGCCGCAGATCGATGCTGTAGCCGCGGCCGCGCAGCGACGCGATCCGAAAGCCGTCGATCGCCGCCGGCTGGCCGAGGACCGCGGCTGCCACCTAGTACCATACCTCCAGAGTACCGAACCCAGTGTGCGGTCAGTCCCGTGGGTGGTGCGGGAGCCGCCTCGAGCGCCGCGCGAGTAAAGGGCGGCGGAGGCGGCTGCTTGCGGAGCGAGTGGCAGCAGGGGACGAGGGCGACGGGGCAGGCGCTGGCCACAGCGCGCTCGATCACGCGGTCCGAGAGCGGACCGCAAGCGTGCACCGACGTGAAGAGCGCCTCGCCGGGCGCGGCGCTCACCGCGTCCAACGTCCCCTCGACGTACTGGTGCTGACCGCGCAGCTCGGGCCAGCGCTCGCCAAAGGCGTCGCTCAGCGAGAGCGCCGCGTCAGGGAGGCGTGTGTCGACGCACACGGCCCGGCGGCGGACGCCGCGCCGAGCGCCGAGCAGCAGCAAGAGCCACGCGAGCAGGCCGTGGCCAGCAGCCAGGTCCGCGACGAGCGGAATCGCCGGGAACGCAGCGTCGACGCACACGGCCACCTCCCACGCCTCGAAGAGCTCCTTGCGCGGCAGCACGCCGGCCGAGCAGACTGTGTCGACGACTTGCGGCCAGAGCGGCGGCATCCCTGAGAGAGCGGAGAGCGACGCGGCGTCGCGAGGCCGGAGCTTGGAGCGTGACGAGCGGCGGAGGGCAGCAATGGAAGGCGGAAGCGCTTCGCTCGAGATGTGGCGGAGCGGAGGCACGGGTCGCCTCAGGACGGTCATGGCGGCTGCGGTGTAAAGAATTTTCATTCGGCGGTCGCACGACACGATTCACGCGACAGGTGAGGCGCGGACGACGGCTTCCTCAGAAGCCGTCGCCCGCACCACAGGAGCAGTCACACCACTCCCACTCCGGCGCCCACCCACTCCCCAACCCGACATCCCCACCCCACCCCACAACCCCGCCCCACCCCGACCCGAGCAACCCCGCCCCGCCCCGCCCCGACCCGATCCACCCCGCCCCGCCCCGCCCCGCCCCCCCCACCGGACCAACCCGCGAGCCGCTCCCGGCTTCGCCCCCCGCCCAAGCCCCACCCGCGCCTGCGCCTCGTCTCGCTCCAAGTCGCCGGGACCCACGACTGCACCGGCACGCTGATCGGACGGCGCTGGGTCCTGACTGCGGCACACTGCATCAAGTCGGGTGCGCTGCAGGTCGCCGTCGGCCTGCATTCCGCGAAGAACTCTGTCAAGGACGAGACATGCGCCATCTATGTCCAAATGGACGAGAAGAAGCCGATTCAGCACGAGGACTACAGGACGGACGAGCAGAGAGCGGAATACAAGACGGAGTGGAATCTTCCTGAAGATCACGTCCTCGACGTTGAGGTCCTCAAGGCCAACGACATCGCGCTCATCAGGCTGACGGATGACGCGCAGTACGACCACATTGAGCACCTTGACAACGACCCGGTGACCAACGAGCCAAACTCGGAGCTCATCGTTGCTGGGTGGAACATCGGCGGCGGCGACGCGACGACAGGCGCGGCGCAGTACAAGAAGGTGCAGGTCTTTGCCTCCGATACGTGCGACTCGACAGAGACGGACAATCCGTTTTGCTTCAACGTGAAGCTCACCGACAAGATGATCTGCACGGCTCCAGGCGCCCGCCGGGGTGACTCGGGCGGCCCGCTGTACAAGGTGGACGCCGACGGGAACGCGGTGCTGGTCGGCGTGACCAGCTTTGGGCCGCCTGAAGCTTCGCCCTGCTTTACAAAGAGCGAGAGCAGGGTGGCGTACACGAGGGTCGCCTCGTACACCGACTGGATCTGCGACAAGACGAGTGGCGACGTCTGCCCCCCAATAGAAGACACGTGCGGCTGCGGGGCGAGCGCCTGCCGCGTGACCTGCACGCTGACAGTCTCACGGCGCGTCGAGAACGTCGGCAGTCAACATGCCATCAGATCTTCTTTGGCAGCGCGGACGGGAGGACCTTCTTCGAGGTCGCCCTCCCTGGCAGCAGGTTCACTTACTCCACCTCGGTGGCGGACGTCGACGGGGACGGGTTCATGGACATCGTGGTCGGCAACTACAACCAAGAGAACCAGATCTTCTTTGGCAGCGCGGACGGGAGGACCTTCTTCGAGGTCGCCCTCCCTGGCAGCAGGTTCACTTACTCCACCTCGGTGGCGGACGTCGACGGGGACGGGTTCATGGACATCGTGGTCGGCAACGCCGGCCAAGTGAACCAGATCTTCTTTGGCAGCGCGGACGGGAGGACCTTCTTCGAGGTCGCCCTCCCTGGCAGCAGGATCACTTACTCCACCTCGGTGGCGGACGTCGACGGGGACGGGTTCATGGACATCGTGGTCGGCAACGCCGGCCAAGTGAACCAGATCCTCTTTGGGAGCGCGGACGGGAGGACCTTCTCCGAGGTCGCCCTCCCTGGAGGGAGCAGGGACACTTACTCCACCTCGGTTGCGGACGTCGACGGGGACGGGTTCATGGACATCGTGCTTGGCAACTTCAACCAAGAGCACCAGATCCTCTTTGGGAGCGCGGACGGGAGGACCTTCTCCGAGGCCACCCTCCCTGGAGGGAGCAGGGTCACTTACTCCACCTCGGTGGCGGACGTCGACGGGGACGGATTCGTGGACGTCGTGGTCGGCAACTCCAACGCAGAGAACCAGATCCTCTTTGGGAGCGTCTGCTCAAACGGAGGTGCACAGCTCCACGGCGCAAGCTGGTGTTACAAGTGCCCCGCGTTTATGGGCCACCCGTTTGTCGGCGGCACCGAGCTCTCCGCCTGCGTCGAGTGCACCCCCGACCACGTCCAGCAGCCCGGCGACGGCGAGCGCTGCGACTACTTCCCCTGCCGATCCGGCCGTGGCTTCGGCGTGCGGCCGCTCGGCAGCGACACCTGCGAGCCGTGTCCCGACGGCCAGTTCTTCAACACCGCGGTCTACCGCGACGAGGACGACCCCGACACCTGGGGGACACAGCGCTGCTACGACTGCCGGCCCGGCACCTACTCGGACGCATCCACCGGCGCGGTCAACGGGTGCACCCGCTGCCCAGAGGGCACGCACCAACCGAAATTCGGCCAGGGCGAGTGTGTCGCTTGCAACGATTTGGAGTTCTCCTCGGACGACCGGACCTACTGCGTGGACAAAGTCGCCGATAGCTGCCTCGAGAAGCCGCGGGCCTACGACCCGGACCTTCCACCTCCACCTCCCCCGCCTCCGTCCAAGTGCCGATTCGAGTTCACCAATCGCGCGGGGGCACAGCTCGAAGCCAGTGGCAGTTGAGCGAGATCCGGCTGTACGAGAGCAGCGGGTCACAGCTCTCCGTGACGGACTGCGTCAGCAACGCGGGTGGAGATAGGAACGCAGGTGAGGGCTCGCTCAAGCTCATCGATGGCAGCGTCAACACCAAGAACTGCTGCTCCACCTCCTCAACCAATGTCGTCGTCACTCTCACGCTCTCACCGTCCATCACAAGCGCCGTCACCGCCAACGACATGCCAACCTTCTCCTGCGAGCATGGAGACGGGGTTTACAAGGTGCTCGACCAGCAGACGGGTGTCAGCGCTCCAAACGATCGTAAAACGGCCTATCCGACCTACAACCTCTGATCCGCTTGGTGCGCTTCGTTGCTTCGTGTCTTTGGGCAGTTGACTCGTCGGCGGCGCCGCTGGTTGGAGGCTCCGCGTGGAGACTGGAGCAGGCCTGGGAGATAAACCTGGAGGGGGGAGGGGGGGGGGGGGGGGCTTGGCGACGAGGCACGCGCGCAGACCGCGCAGTGAGACTCTCGAGCCCGAGCGTGGCCACCGCAGGATCAGTTAGGGCGATAGGGACAGCGCGAGCACTCCCCTGGGTGGGACTCGTGGTCGTGGGGCGTGGCCGTTGGGGCTTGTGGTTGAGAGAGCGTTTTGGTATGACTGTGACGCGTTGAGATACGGACAGTGTTGAGAGTGTGAAAAAAGATTGCGTTACAGTGTTGAGAGTGTGTATATCTGCGATTTGAGACGACGGTTAAAGATGACTTGGCAATAGTTTCATCAAGGGCGTGGCCGTGGGTGTGGGTGTAACGTTTTTTGCGTTTTGGTGAGACGAGCTGGTGTTCCCAGACTCACACTGGGAGAGTACGGCTTTAATCGAACTCTTTGTGTGAGGACGGCTGACGCTGTAAAATCTTGAGCACTTGAGCACTTCGGATAGGGTCGATTCCGCATGGTACGGGACCCCTCGATCGTCAGGGCTCAGGCCCGCCCTCGCAAGGTGTGTTTCAGTAAAATCTAAAAGCAGGCCAGGTTTTGCAGTACCAGTAGGAGAGAGTAGAGTACATCTGCACGGTGTAACCGGTATGTTTTGACTTTTGTGTCTCGACACTCGAGCTCAACCTCAAGCCTCAACAAAGACACGCTAACTACGGCTGCTTTGCCTGCCAAACTGCTTTCATGTCTACTAGCTCTCGACCTCCCCCTTCACGGCAGCCTCCGGCGGCGGGCGCTCGGGCTCACTGCGGTCCTGCTCACTGCTGTCTTCCTCCCTGCCGCGGTCCTCGCCCCTCCGCGCCGCCGCGCCTGCTCGGCGGACTCGCTGCCGCGAGCCGTACCGCATCAGCCAGCGCGTCTGCTCGGCGTCGCGCAGCAGCCACTGGTGCTGCACGTGGAGCGGCAGGATGGCGAAGGGCTCCTCGATCTGGACGGCGATGTCCTACGGTGAGGTGAGCTAAGGTAAATTTCTCCACACACACATGGTTTTGGGGCAGGGGGGGCCGACCCTCGCGACTCCACGTCTAGACGACAAGGCCCAGTGCGCGTGGATGAAGCGGTGTGGGAGTGTGTGCGCGTGTGTGCGCGTGCGTGCGTGCGTGCGTGTGTGCGCGTGTGCGTGCGTGCGTGTGTGCGTGCGTGCGTGTGTGCGTGTGTGCGTATGTGTGTGTCCTCGATGGAGAGGAAGATGAAGGAGATGAAGAGCATCGTGGTCAGCAGCACGGGCAGCTCGGCGAGCGGCTTGTCCTCCCACCACGTGCCTAATCTCGGGTGATCTCGGGTGATCTCGGGCAGTCTCGGGTCACCTCGGCTTGTCCTCCCACCACGTGCCGGCTTGGAAGTCGGCGAACGTGCGCGAGAGGGCGAAGGGCAGCAGCGTGATCCAGATCCAGAGGAACCGGACCTACGCCCCAACTCGTGCTCGGATGATCTCGGAGAATCTCGGGGAAACTCGGGAGGCCACCTGGCCACAACGGGGCGGCGGACCGACGAGCGGGTGTAGCCGAGCGGGATCGGGGTCGAGACGAGCTTCTCGCACTTTGCGAGGTCGGCGGCCACCTACGCACGAAGAAAGAAGAAATCGGCTGCGCCCAAGTGCTCCAAGAAATCGGTGTTGCGTGGTCCACCTAGAAACGGAAGAATCCCCGTCGGCACAAAAGAAAGAAATGTCCGAAAAAGAAATCTCGTGGCCGCCGTCGTGAGGAGGTCGTCCATCGCGATCCGCTCCTGGTCCGTCAGGCCGGGCAGTAAGATATGGGGAGACATGGGGAGATATGGGGAGATATGGCCGCTCCTGGTCCGTCAGGCCGGGCAGTAAGATATGGGGAGATATGGGGAGATATGGCCGCTCCTGGTCCGTCAGGCCGGGCAGTAAGATATGGGGAGATATGGGGAGATATCGGGAGATATGGCCGCTCCTGGTCCGTCAGGCCGGGCAGTGAGATATGGGGAGATATGGGGAGATATGGGGAGATATGGCCGCTCCTGGTCCGTCAGGCCAGGCAGCCGCTGCGAGACGCCAACCGCCATGGCCGAGATCCACAGGTAAGGCGACGGGGCCGGTGCCGGCTCCGCGGCATCGGTTCGCGCCTCGCCGCCCCCCTCCTCCTCCTCCTCCCCCTCCTCCACGCCGAGCGCGGCGCGCAGCAGCGCCTCCTGCATCTCGTCGATGGGCGCCGAGCGGCGGCGGTCGAGCCCTCCGCGCAGGTACGAGGTCATGATCCAGCCGTGGACCAGCGTGCACGCCTGGATCAGGTCCTCCGCCGCCGCGCGCTCGCCTGCGGGGGTGTGTCTCGGACGTGTCTCGGACGTGTCGTGGACGTGTCGCGGACGTGTCGTGGACGTGTCTCGGACGTGTCGTGGACGTGTCGCGGACGTGTCGTGGGCGTGTCGCGGACGTGTCGTGGGCGTGTCGCGGATGTGTTGTGGACGTGTCGCGGACGTGTCGCGGACGTGTCGTGGACGTGTCGTGGGCGTGTCGTGGGCGTGTCGTGGACGTGTCGTGGGCGTGTCGTGGACACGTCCTCCGCCGCCGCGCGCTCGCCGTCCAACCTCGGCTACACCTCGGCTATCTCGGCTACGCCTCAGCTACACCTCGGCTACCTCGGCTGTATCTCGGCTGTATCTCGGCTGCATCTCGGCTTATCTCGGCTATATCTCGCCGTCCGAGAAGAGCTCAGGGCTCGTGAAGGCGGTCAGCCGCCGCATGAGGGAGCGCATGCTCGCCGTGATCTCCCACGCGAGCTGCGAGCCTGATTTCATTCATACGATGGTTAATTAATTGACAAAGGCCGTGATCTCCCACGCGAGCTGCGAGCCTGATTTCATTAACGTGATGGCTGATTAATTGACAGAGGGCCGCGATCTCCCACGCGAGCTGCGAGCCTGATTTCATTAACGTGATGGCTGATTAATTGACAGAGGGCCGCGATCTCCCACGCGAGCTGCGAGCCTGATTTCATTAACGTGATGGCTGATTAATTGACAGAGGGCCGCGATCTCCCACGCGAGCTGCGAGCCTGATTTCATTAACGTGATGGCTGATTAATTGACAGAGGGCCGCGATCTCCCACGCGAGCTGCGAGCCTGATTTCATTAACGTGATGGCTAATTAATTGACAGAGGGCCGCGATCTCCCACGCGAGCTGCGAGCCGAGGCTGAAGCGCTCGTACGCCTGGAGCGGGCGGAGGCGGGCTAAGTGCGAAGGCGGGCTAAGTGCGAAGGCGGGCTAAGTGCGAAGGCGGGCTAAGGGCGGAGGCGGGCTAAGGGCGGAGGCGGGCTAAGGGTGGCGGCGGGCAAAGTGCGGCGGCGGGCTGAGGTGGCAAGGGCGACGGGCGGGCGGCGCCGTGTCGGTCCGGAAGACGAGCAGCAAGCCTACGGCTCGACATCAGCCGAGATCAGCCGGGATCAGCCGCGAGATTAGCCGAGATCAGCCGAGATCAGCCACGGAAGGCGGGCGGCGGGCCGAGGACGGGCGCGGTGAGCTCGAACGGCGTCAGCGGCAGCTGCAGCTCCGGGTAGAGCGGATTCACCGCGATGAACTGCGTCGCCGCCAGGAAGACGTTGTTGTATGCGAACACGAGCGACGAGAAGAGGCAGACCGCCAGCACGGTCGGGCCGATCCGCTGCGTGGTTTTCCCAAAGAGGATGCCAAGCACGAGCCGTCCGTACCGGGCCTGCGAGCGGTGGACCTCCCATCGCTCGAAATCAAAGCTCGGATCGGTGCCGTCGAGGCTCGTCGTGAACATGACCTATCATCGGTCCGCCGGACTAGTCGGGTCTCGCCGGGTGAGAGAGGTCAGCACCCCCCCGAGTCCATGACCGGCTGCTCGGAGATGGGCGAGCGCTCCACCTCGAGGCGGGTGCTCATGCCTTCAAGCGTGTTGTACCCCTGTTGCTCGTACTGCAGCGCCGCGTCCTCCTTTGGCCGGTTGAGGAACCGCATGAGCCACGAGTTTGAGGCCTCCTCCGCCAAGTCATCGAGGAGGCTGGACAATGGCACGCCGCTTCTGAGCTGACGGAGAGCCGGCGTTGGTAGGAGGAGGCCGGTGGCCACGAGAGTCACCACCATTCCTCCGAACGCGTCGTAGCGGACAGCTCCGGCCTCCGACGCGGCGGACAGCTCCGGCCTCCCACGCGGCGTCGAGGCAGCTCCCACGCCCTACGAGGAGCTCCGCAACACCGGCGGGAGAAGAATTTTAGCTGGCGAGGGTGGGCGACGCACACCCCTCTCCTTAAAATCCCTGTGTGGTGGCGGCGTGCCGTTCTCCCATCCCTCCCTTGGGTTGCCTGTTTTCCTTCTTTTTTTTTAGGCTGATAACTGCGAAAGGTTTTGTTTTCGCTTCCTGCGAGCTGCGTCCATCCATACCGCGCTGGTTTCCAGTGTCCGAGCCTGGCTGTTCTTCACCTTTCGACAACCAGCGAGAGCTCTACCGCCTACCGGCGTATCTCCCGCCGTCTCCACCCCGCGCGCCACCCAGTGCCGCCCTCTCGCTGGAGCGACAGGTTCTGCCCTATTGTTTTTGTGTTTGTGAGCGGTGTTGGGTCCAACGGAGGCTGCCGAGCTCTCCTCGAGCAAGGACGAGTCTTCTGACGCCCACTGCTATCATTTGCCGCCCAGTCATATCATTGCTCAGGTCCACTCTCTCTTCGAACACTTGTGCCTTCACTGATGATGCCGGCGCTGGGGTCCCCTTCGGGTGCATCGTGACGGCTGACAACGGGATTTCCACTGGTTAACCAGTGACTGCGTTTCTCTTTCTCGAGATTCCGCCGCCTTCTTCATCTCGCATCCGCGCTGGGGTGTGCTGACCCGCAGGTTTTCTTTTTCTCGCGATATGTCCACCCCGCCGCGCCGCTCGCGCCGCTCGCGCCGCCTCGCCGCCCCCGCCTCCACCGCCGCGCCCTCGCCGAGCAAGCCGCCGCCCGCCCGCCTCCTCGACCTTCCCACGGAGCTCCTCGAGCGCGCCCTCTCTCGCTGCGAAAGCCCCGCCGACATCGCTCGCGTCGCAGCCGTCTCGCTCCTCTTTCACGCCTCGCTCGCGGTGCAGGCCATCCGCTTGTGGGCGCAAGAGCGCGGCTACGTGCTGCCGGTGCAGCCAGAGGGCGAGGGCTGCGCCGTGCGGTGGCTGTGCTTCGTTGCGCTGCTGTGCGAGGCCAACCCGCCGGCGAGGGCGGCGGCAGGCTCCTTCCACAGCCTCTTCATCGACGGCGAGGGGCGGCTCTCGTCGTGCGGGTCAGCGGCAGCGGAGGGCGAGGAGGACGACGACGACGACGAGGAGGAGCAGTTTCCAGGCCTTCTCGGCCACGGCGAGGGCGTGACGCGGCTCAACACACCGACCCGCCTCCCGTCGGCGCTGGGCGGCGAGCGCGCCGTGAGCGTGTCGGCTGGCTATAGTCACAGCCTTGCCCTCACCGCCGACGGCTCTGTCTGGAGCTGGGGCGATGGAGGCGGGGGCCGGTTGGGCCACGGCGACCAGCAGAACCAACTGCTGCCGAAGAAGGTCGAGGGCTTTACGGGCCCGCGCGTCGTCGCCGTGTCGGCGGGACTTAACCACAACCTGGTCCTCACCGCCGACGGCGCCCTCTGGAGCTGGGGCTATGGATACTTTGGCCGGTTGGGCCACGGCGACCAGCAGGACCAGTGGCTGCCCAAGAAGATTGAGGCGTTGGCTGACCAGCGCGTCGTCGCTGTCTCGGCTGGACTTAACCACAACCTCGCCATCACCGCCGACGGAGGTGTGTGGAGCTGGGGCGAAGGAGGCTTTGGCAAGCTGGGCCACGGCGGCCAGCAGCGCGAGCTGCTGCCCAAGCAGGTCGAGGCCTTGGCTGGGCAGCGCGTCATCGCTGTCTCGGCTGGATATCGCCACAGCCTCGCCATCACCGCCGACAACGCTGTCTGGAGCTGGGGCGATGGAGGCCTCGGCCAGCTGGGCCACGGCGACCCGCAGGAGCAGCTGCTGCCCAAGAAGGTCGAGGCCTTGGCTGGGCAGCGCGCTGTCGCTGTGTCGGCAGCACACAACCACAGCCTCGCCCTCACCGCCGACGGAGCCGTCTGGAGCTGGGGCGGTGGAGGCGGGGGCCTGTTGGGCCACGGCGACACGCAGGAGAAGCTGCTGCCCAAGCAGGTCGAGGCCTTGGCTGGGCAGCACGTCGTCGCCGTGCTGACGGGAGAAGACCACAGCCTCGCCCTCACCGCCGGTGCCGTCTTTACTTGGGGCAAAGGCAAGCGCGGCTGCCTTGGCCACGGAGAGGACCTGTCGAACCAGGTGCTGCCCAAGAAGATCGAGGCGTGGGCGCCGGGGCGGTGAGCAGGAGGGTGTGGGTGCGGGGGGCGCATTACCCGCCTGAGGCTGAGCCAAGTGTTGTTTCGTTCGTGGTGGATTGGCCCACATATTGGCACTCTTTGAACGGCGCGTGGCGCGGTGGGGCCTCTTGTGCGCTCGCACTGTGTCTTGGTGTGGAGTTGCACAAAAAACGGATACCTCTATTGTGAGATGGGTAAAAGCCCCCCAAAGGCCCCCACTTTGCGTGTGTGTAGAAATTTACCTCTGATGACCGTCTCTCTCTCGTCTCTGGAGTCTGGACTCCCTGTGCCGCGCTGTGCGCGCCCCCTATTGTCTCTCTCGCTACTAATCATCACTGTCATTTGGAGATGGAGCCAGCCAACGCAAGGCCCGACTCGTCAACCACGGCCATCGACTCGCTAAACACACGGCCTCGCTCCCCCGGCCTTGACGCTTGAGCAAGGGAAGAAGAGTATCGCTGTGATTACGAAAGAACACAAACCTCTCTTGGGTGAGGTGTAGAGGGAAGCCGCGCCCTCAAATCGCCAGCCTGTGCACGCGGCTGGTGGACGCATCGGTGACGATCAGCGCGCCGCCCGCCGGGTCGAGGGCGATCCCGCTCACTTCTGCGCCGCCAGGGCAGGCAATCTCCTTGACCAGCGTGCCTTGCGGCGAGAGCACCGCCACGCGCCCTTGGCCACTGCCGTGGCCGGCAAAGTCGAAGAGGGCGACGTAGACGTGCCCGTCCTCGTCGCACGCCACAGCGCTCGGCCCGAGGCCTCCGGAGAATTGGAAGTAGACTGAGCAGTGCCACACCCCCGCCGGACGCTGCACAAAGCGGAGCAGGCGATTGGCGAGCAGCTCACACACGTAGAGGGCGCCGCCGCGCGGCGCGAGCGCGAGGCCGCACGGGTGGGAGAGCGTCCCCAGCGCGAGTGGCTGCAGCAGCTGCCCGTCTCGGGAGATGGAGAAGACAGACCCGCCGCGCTCGCCCAGCGTCGTCTCGCCTAGCGGCCCGGAGTCCGTGAAGTAGATGTTGCCTTTGGCGTCGGTCGTCATCCCCGACGGGCCGAGGAGGTCCCTGCCCTCGTACTCGCGCACAAACTCGGAGAGCACACCGTCCGAGCCGCGGCAGAGGATGGCGCGGTGTGCCCAATCGCACACGTACAGCGCGCCCTCCGCAAAACAGACCGCCTGCGCGGGAACGGCGACGATAGATGGGTGGATGTAATGGCCGCGCGAGGGCGAGGACTAGGTGGGATCAACACCGTTGGGTTGCCCCCTGTGTTTAGAAGGGGAAAGACGGCGGCATTGGCGACCGATACAATGTCGCCCGATTCGCTGGCAACAGCGTACAGGCTACCGTCAGGCCCGAATGTCGGCGCCAACAGACCTGCACCTCCCGCACCGTACGGTGCGCTCTCGGCCGGCGGCGGCCGCGCGAGCGGCGGCGTGCTGGGCATACACACACGACGTTGTCGGTCGTTACACTTGCGGGAGAATTTAAACAAATGCGCCGAGCGGACACAACGCCCCGCGGCACACGGCGGCTCCCACTCTTTGAGTCGGGCAAAACATAGTGATTGGGATCAAATATTAAATGAATTAAATGATATAAAACAGTCTTGCCACCACCGGGAGCGGCCAGGGCTCATAGACTCGGTCGAAAGACCCCAGATTGGCATCCATGCCTCTCTGGACAGGGTGGCCCGCCACAAGGACCCCAGGAATTGCGTCTCGCCGCTTTCCTCCCGCTGTGATTCTGTGTGAGCTCTGTGTCTTGTTTTGCCAACAATAGACCTAAACAGAATGATACTCTGTCCCATCGATTTGACTTCCACGGCACACACGGGAAGTTGTGCAGAAGGTGCTTGATCACAGCATGATGGGCGCCCCGGGTGGCCACCTCCCCGCCCCTACCTCAGCCAGCACCGGAGGCGACGTTACTCGCCCCGCCACCTTCCTGAGGCCGCGCAGGACCGTCGCCGCAGCCTCCGCCTCGAGCCTGGGCCGCTGCGCCGCGTCCCCCGTGAGCAAGCGGCCATGTAGCTCGGCGACGACCTCGCCCACCTTCCCGACCTCGAGCTTCCGCAGCGCCGCCACCAACCCCTCCATGGGCAGGGCTTGCGCCCACTGCTTCAGCGACCTCCACTCGCACTCGAAGCTTTGCTCGACGACATCCTCCGTCACGCCGTGTCCCACGTAGAAGAAGAGCGCGCACCTCATGTCCTCGCCCTGTCCGAGGCCGTCGCCGCCATGGCACAGCTCGCTCGCTTTGAAGACGAGGGCGTCGCCCGGCCCGAGCATGATCGGTTCTTGCCGCGATACGACGTGTAGCCGCCGCTGGCTGAGGGGCACGATCACGGAGTGGACGTCTTCTACGTTCGCGTCCAAGTGGAACGGCTGTCGCTCCGCCCCTGGTAAGGTTACGATCAGGCTGACCCCCGCAACGCTGCCGTCGCTTCTTGTGACGCCGACCGGCCTGCCCTCCAGGCCAACGTGCGGTAGCACCAGCCGCGCTAGTTGCGTCGCTAGTTCCGCAAGCTCCGGCCGCCCTTCGAAGCGGAGCAGCTTTCGCTTCGTTTCCCGCGCGATCCCTTCGAGGCTCTCGGGCCCCACGATGTCCTCGGCGTGCTGCACCGCACCCTTCGCGTACTCGAGGAAGGCGTTAAGGGCCCCGAGCTGGCCGTGCGCCGCCGCGAAGTCTCGCACGACTTGCCAGTCGCCTTCGTCCTCCACGTCGACAATGTCGAAATTTTTTCGATCTGCCCGCGAAATCGCATTCATGACTGCCGCTGGCGCGACGCGCTGCTCCGCTCGAGCTGCGGCGCGCTTGCCCACGCTCTCGCTCAGCGGCGGCCGCCTCGCCTCGTGCCTCTTCCTCTCCTCGCTCTGGCCCGAGCCCGACTCCTCCGCCGCGGGCGTGCGCACGGAGGCGCTGCTGCACGCCTTCCAGCGGTGGGGCTACGACTGCTCCTTCGCGGCGTCGTCGGCGCCCAAGAGCGCATACGTGGAGCGCCTCCAGTCGCGCGGCGTCCAGGCGTACGAATGCCCGCCCAACCGCGAGGCGGAGCTCGCGCGAGTGCTTGAGCGCACGGCGCCGGACGTGGTCGGAAATTTCGACCGCTTCTTCACCGAGGAGGCCTTCTCTTTCCGGGTGCGCGAGCTCGCCCCCGCCGCGCTGCGCGTGCTCGACATGCAGGACATGCACGCGCTCCGCCGAGGCAGGCAGCTCGTCGTCGAGCAGACGCTCGAGCAAGGCGCCTCGTCGGACGCTGCGATCTCGGCCGCGCTCGCACACACGCCTTCGGCAGGCAGCAGCGACCTGCTGCGCGAGCTGGCGGCGGTTCATCGCTCCGACCTCACCCTGGTCTGTTCGCCGGTGGAGCAGCAGCTGCTCGCCGCCTCCTACGGCATCCCCTCGCACAAGCTCGCCCTCGCCTCCTTCTTCTGCGCCGAGGCGGCGCCCGACGCGCAGCCAGGCGATCGGGGCTTCGGATACGGCCGCGCGAACGGCTTTGGTGCGCGCGCAGACTTCGTCACCGTCGGAGGGTTCAAGCACCCCCCCAACGTCGACGCTGTTCGCTGGCTTGCGAGCGACATCTGGCCGCGCATCCGCGCCAGGATGCCGCAGGCGCAGCTGCGCATCTACGGCGCGTACCCAACGGCAGCGGTGCAGCGCCTGCACTCGCCCGACACGGGCCTGCACGTCTGCGGCTACGCGCCCAGCCTCGACGTGCTGGCGGCGTCGCGCGTGCTGCTCGCGCCGCTGCGGTACGGCGCAGGGATCAAGGGCAAGGCTGGTCGGCGCTCGTGGCTAGGTAGCCGTACCTGTGAACAGCGTCTCTTCACACCTGCAGCTGTGAACAGGTTGTCGACGCGTGGCGGTACGGGCTCCCCGTCGTAGCGACGCCGATCGCCGCCGAGGGGATGCGCGGCGAAAGCGGCGGCGGCGGCGGCGGCGGCGGCGGCGGCGGCGGCGGTGGCGGCGGTGGCGGCGGCCGTGGCGGCGGAGCGCAGAGCGATGCGCGGAGCGACGCGGCGTGGGGCGGACTCGTGGCCGAGAGCGGCGAGGCGTTCGCAGAGGCCGCGGTGCAGCTCGCGAGCAACGCAGCCGTGTGGGAGCGCGCGCAAGCGGGTGGCCGGCGGCTGCTGGCGCAGCTCTACGCGCGCGAGGCCAACTTGGGCGTCGTTCGCGCGGCGATCGAGTCTGCGCGGGTGGGGCTGGCCGAGCGGCGGGCGGGCGACGTGTACGGCGCGCTGCTCTGGCAGCAGAGCGCGCGCTCGACTGAGTTCTTCTCGCGATGGATCGAGCTGAAGGAGCGGCAGAAGAATGACACGTAGTTCGTGCTGTGCTGGCCAGCTACTCGATGATTGGTGGAGCGGGTTTTATAAAGCCGTATTTGAGGCGAAGCTACAAATACAAAGGGAAAGAGACCACCTCTTACGGCTTTAGCGCCATCTTGCCGGAGCGGCGGAGGAGGTGCATACATCGAGCTCTCTCTGCGGGACACTCCAGTAGACAAAGAAGAGGCGACGGGAGGAACCGGCAGAGGATGCAGTGACGTGACACACACACACACACACACACACACACACACACACACACACACACACACACACACCGCTCACCCACGCGCTCCGGGCCTTGCACTTTAAATGCCGTGGGGCTCCTGTCGTTAGACGTGGAGATGCGAGGGTTGCCCCCCCTTGCCCCACCACCTCGTGTGTGTGGAGAAGTTTACCTTACCTTACCTTACCAGTAGATTTGTTGAGTGGAGATCGTAGATGCCGATCAGAGATCTTCCACACACAGCATCTCTCGCAAAACTCAGAGATCTTTAACTGAAGATGGAGATCTTGAGCTGCCGCCATCGGCACCTCGAGATCTCAGGCCGGAGACGGAGATGTTGACTTCGCGCCAAAGGCGCCTCGAGAATCGTGTGGCCGACTGGAGATTGCAAAATGGCGCGAAAAGAGGGTGGAGATCCGCTTGAAGGTGTGAAAGGAAAAGAGCATCCTGGAAGGCCGTCGATCCCCCCCCTGACGGAGGGAATCCCTGCTCACAGAAAAGGGCTTCGAGCCCTGTCTCGCGCACGCCCCTGGCGGGCGCCGCGGACCAGTTCCGCGAGCGCTCGTCAGCGGGTGGTGTGCGGTTCTTGCCGTAGTTCCTCTTCGGTCGCCTAGCCCCGGCGCCGTCTGGCGGACGCCTGCGTGTCACGAGTGCGAGCCGCTCGCGGTTCGTACGCCCGCTTGCGGGTTCGAGTGGCGGGCTATTCCGCTTGCGGGATGGCTTAGCGGGTTCGAGCCGTCACACATTGGCTGCCGCCGGTCCCCGCGACTCCATCTAAGGCGCAGTCACTGAGCACACCGCGACCAGCTCCTCCTCCACCTCCGTCCTACCCCTTTGGCGCAATCAGTCGTGCAGAAGCCGAGGCGACGTTTGCCGAGCTTGCCGACGCAGTTAGCTATACAGGCGATCCAGCCACCTATGACGGGGCCCTCTGTTTCCGCTCTGCGGAGGCGTTCTGTGCAGCGCCAAATCTCAGATCTGGATGCGGATGCGATTGCGGATGTTGCAATTGTTGCTGCCCCGCGCCAACGCCAGCGCCAACGCCAGCGCCGACGCCAGGATGCAATTGTGTCGGCCAGGACCCGCATCTTCACTTCCCGCACGGTGGACGCGCCGACTTTCGTGGCCGCAACGGCCAGATCTACTCCTTCTTCTCCGCGCCTGGCTTGGCCCTCAACCTTAAGACCGAGGACGCCGTCTTCCCGCTCCGTAAGGGTGGCGAGCGCAACCCAACAGCGACGCTCATCGTGAACGGCTCCTTCATCACCGAAGTGCACGTGGTGGCGCGCGTCAGCGGCGCGTACAACAAGACGGCGACCGCCTCCTTCTGGGCAGCCGAGCTCAACGAGAACAACTGGGGCGATAGCGTCGTCAATGGCACCTGCGGCGGGCGGCGCTTCATTCTGGGGAAGGGTAGGCATAGGACCTGCGGTGAGTTCTCCGTCACGATCAGCATGTCGAGCGCCATCTTCACCGTCGGCAACTGGACGGCCTCTGTTCGCGGCTTGCCGACCGAAGCCACCTCGGGGCCGGCGCACCGGCTCGACGTTGCCTTCACGCTCAAGGGCGACTACGTGGCGCGGCACTTGCCGCATGGTATCCTCGGCCAGTCCTTCACCACCGACGAGCCGCGCTGGGGCAAGACTGACTCCTACCCCATCGAGGGGAGCTTCACCACCAAGGCCATGGCGGAGGGCGCGATCGAGGGCACCGCCGCCATGTACGAGGTGACGTCGCCCTTCGGCACCGACTTCGCATTCTCCCGGTTTCACGCACGGCAGCTTCCCGGTGGACTGGGCGCTGGGGGAGGAGCCATCAGCGCCTCGGGCACCGACCGCAGATGAGGGAGGAGAGAGCGGCGCTGAGGCGGCGTGGAGCGCCGCTCCGTCTCTCATAACCACATATACATCCTTGCCCGTGACGACAAAGCAGAGTTTATTTCCGGGCCAGAAGGTGGACCGCTGACAGGGTGTTGCATGGGGCCTCCACCTGGAAGTTTACATTGGCGCGGCTCCCGTGGTGTATACCTGTGTTAGTGCCTGTCCGCGCCAGAGTCCCGTGCCCCCAGTGACCTGAGACAGAGAGTTTCTCCGCGGTAAAAAAACTTCTGAGACGGCGTGCAGCAAAGTCGCCGACGAGGTAAGGTAAGGTAAGGTAAACTTCTCCACACACACGAGGTGGTGGGGCAAGGGGGGGCAACCCTCGCGTCTCCACGTCTAACCGCGACAGGAGCCCCACGGTGCCGTGGGTGCGCGTGGGTGAGGTGTGTGTGTGTGTGTGTGTGTGTGTGTGTGTGTGTGTGTGTGTGTGTGTGTGTGTGTGTGTGTGTGTGTCACGTCACTGCATCCTCTGCCGGTTCCTCCCGTCGCCTCTTCTTTGTTCGAATGCTTTTCAATCCATCCTTCACGAAGCCCTCCCATGTAGCTAGCGTTCTTTGCGAATGTCTCGAAATGGCCAGCAGGCGCTGTCTGCTCGCGACCTGTGCGGGCCGCTCGTCCTCCTCGCCCTTCTTTCGTCCTCCCGTCCCTCCCCTCCACCATGGCCTCCTCGGCACTTCTTTCTCCATCCGCCTCGCCCTGCCTTTTCGTATCGTGCCGTTCGCCCTCCATTCGGTGACCTCCATGGCTGTCCGCCCCCTTTTGGGTGGCGCTCTCGATACCGTTGCGTCAACCTCGACGTCGCTGTCGCCCTCCCCGTCCCCGCCGTCGCCCGTGCCTCGGTTCGCGTCTTCGGTAGCGCCTCCGTTGTTCCCTCGTGCTCCGCCGTCGCCCTCTCTGCTCGGGCCGTTCGCGATTTCGCTCCTCCTGCGTGTCGCCCCTCCGTCTCCTCCCCTGCCTTCGTCGTCATCCTTTCGTCGCTGTCGCGAAAGCCCTCCGGTCCCTCGAACGATTCCCTCTCGTCTATCCCCTCCGCTGCGTCGTCCCAGTTTATATCCTCATCCTCTGTGCGCGTTGTCGTTCCCTCCCCTTCTCCATCGTTGTCGCCTCCGTCGACTGTGGCGCTGCCTCTTCCCTCGCCTCCGTCCTCCTCGTCTCGCCTGCCATCGTCCCGTGTCTCCCCGTCCTCGCCATCGCCTTGGCCGTTGTCTACCTGTTCATCGTGTCCCCTGCTGGTGGTGGCATCGCCGTTGGCTTCCTCTCTCCCCCTTTCCTCCCTGCCCCTCTCGCTGTCTGGTGTTAATGGACCCCCTTCCTCTCCCTCGCCACCGTCACCGTCACCATCCCCGTCGCTCCCGCCCTCCCGACGACTCGGTCCGCGTGACTCCTCGTGTCGCGCATCGTTCTCACCCATCCATAAACTCACTTTGGCCTCACTAAAGCGAAGTCTGAATCCTTAATCCTCAGATTTTAGATTACGACGCTGTGGGCCCTCTACCCCCCCACTTCTACTACTTCTCCTACACTAAACTACACTGCGCGATTGCTGCTGGTACCACGTAAACTCTCCACGACAGAACGGGACAGTGATTGAAATGGGCTTGACTAGGCTCTAGGGGCTTGAGACTTGAGTGTGCGAACTGCGAATGCGACACAGAGGCGGAGGATATCGAGGCGCGCCGAGGGCCGGCAGAGTCCAGAGACAGTCTCACTCTCAGCTCTCAGTCTCACCCGTGCGGCGTGTGGGCGGGGTGCAGCGGTGCACATTGTACCTTCAGAGATGTGCCGCACAAAAAATCACACAACCGCTTTTTGCAAACAAATCACTTGCACACGCAGGCTGACGGCCGGAGACGCGCGGAAAAATTCCTGCGCTGGCGCCCACTCGCGCCCTCCCACACCAATTCGCACACATGGATCAAAGGTCGGACGCCGACGCCTCCGGGGAGCGATAGATGGCGTGCTGGAGCGCGGCCCGCAGCGCGGCACAGTCGGGGTACTCGGGCAGCAGCAGGACCCCCGCGGAGCGGAGCACGCGAACCGGCGGCGGCTCGGTCGGCGGCTGCGCCATGTAGAAGCGGACAATCAGCGGCGCGCCGGTGGCGCCAAAGCTGGCGGCAGCGTGCTGCGGCGCGGACGAGCGCGAGCGGCGGCGCGACGCGTGGCGCGGCGGCGCGTGCGGCTCGTCGGGCTCGAGGTGCGGCTCGGCGTCGCGCGGCGGCGGGCGGGTGCGGCCGGTGACGAGGAGGAGGAGGCGGGTGCGAAAGGTGTCCGACGCGGCGCGCAGCAGCGAGAGCAGCAGCGCGGGCGTGCGCGCGCCGTCGGGCCACGCCTCAAACACGAGCCGCGCCTCGAGGTCTTGGGCGGGGAAGGCCGCGGGCAGGGG